GCCATGTGGTAAATTATTCTTTTTTTATAAAATGTTATAACTCTTTCAATTGTACTTCAAATTTTATAAAAATTATATCAAATTAAATAACTTTTTATGATCTACGATATGACATCCATATTACGTTAAAGTTTTAGATACGTTAAATATTTGATTAGATACGTTAAAGTTTGGTCTGTTGAATGGCCGATAAATGTGTATTTATGATATGTTTGGAAAAACTAACCGAAAAAATACTCTTATGAGTGTTTTGGTAACTATTAGCTTTTAGTGGCTTATAAAATCTTAAAAGAAAAAGTTAATAGCAATTTGATAAAAAGATGACTGTTTGATTTAGTTATGTTTGGTATACAAGCTGTTGGGACTGGTTGATGCTAAAAGTTACAGACTTATCCGAGATGTTACTCATTCGAGCATCTCAAAATAATCTTTTATTTTTATAAAAGCTCTTAATAATTAGCATGCCAAACATACAACTAGAAGTTTTTAAAGACTTTTTAAATAGTACAAAGGCTAGAAGGCAGAGACTTATGCGTGCAGGGGGCGTAGCCAAGAGTAATAGTTGGATTCGGCCAGTACAAAGAATTTTTACAGATAAGTTTTTACACATAAATGCGTGCCGGCCCGGTTTACCACCCCTCCACCTCCGCCCATGTATGCGTGCCAAACATAGCCTTACTATTTTTTAAATTTAATCTATCTGAAATGATTGGCTTACATCTATAAATCTATTTGAATCAAAATCAGTTAAATTAAAAACATCCTAAATATCATTCACCTATTTTTGTTACCTAACTTACTATATTTGTCCCTTAAAACTTTTTTATCTTTGATTTTTCAATTCAATGGTGATAATTTGTTACCAATAATTTTCATTAGTATAATTTTATGAAAATTATAAATTTTATAATTTTATGAAAGTATTTTTGAAAGAAGTATTTTCGTATAATTTTTATGTTATAAATCATTTTCTAATCGTATATATCATGTAGTCTGGTTTGGTCGGGGATCATATAGAGTCAAATTAAAAAACATCCTAAAAAGTGTAAATTATAGTTACTTTGTATTATCGTGACTGATAATAGAATAAAGACAATATCCAATACAAAGATGAATGAAAAGTATATTTATATAAGAAGATTGTAAAAAAATCATATGAGTATTAATTATACCGTATTACAAATATTTATATATTTGGTGGTAGTTGAAATTTGTAATCTATTTTTTTTTGGCAATTCTTTCTAACCTATTATAATATATGTTCTATGTTAAGACTAACATCATTGAACTTGGATGAGATTCGAACATGTGACCTCTTCCTTCGAAGTGCCACATTGATGTTATCAGATTACAGTGTACTTGACTGAAATTTGTAATCTATTGAATTGTGAGTATATTTTAAAGGTATTTATTTTTTAGGAATAAAGTAAACAAAGTTTTAGGAAATCTAATCTAACGCAGTAATGCCAATGAGTGTATTACTTTTTAAATTAATACGGAGTAAAATCTTAGCATTGAACTTTCAAAATTGCTCTTTGTACACACAATTGTACACTCAATGTACACACTATTTAAACCCAAAAAAATTTACCCCTCTCTTTTCCCCTCACTCCCCCACCCGACCCACGCTTCTCACTCTCTCCCCACTCGGCCACTCCTTTCTCTTCTTCCCTTCAACGAAATCAACAAACAAGCTTCCACCTTCATCAACCTTCACAAAGCTTCCTCTTCGATGGATTATCCGTACGACGACACGTTGGTGACTAACTTCGACGATTTTTGGGCTTCATGGGATGAGAATCCCGGAGGCAGTGAAGTTGGGATGTCTTCCGGAGCTGGAGAAATTCAAGGATAGACGGCCGGAGCTGGAGAAGGTGACGGGATGACGGATGGAGGCGGAGAGGGGTCTGGAGATAACACCGGAGTTGGAGATGTTGTTGGACGCACTCTTGGAGCCGGAGAAGATGACGATCACACGAACCTAGCCGGGGTAGATGAAGGGCTGACGTCGCCGGCGGCCATGGACGTCGTTTCTGACCTTGGTATAGTGACGTAATCTTCTTGAACGTTGAAATACGTTTACTCTCACAGGCATGTTGTTAGAGGTGGAAGTTGTTTATGTGTTAATTTATTTGTTTATGTGAGTTTTAGTGGGTTTATGCTTGTTTATGTGGGTTGTTAGTGTTTGCAGAATGTCATAAACATGTTTGTTTGTGTAGTATTCAACGTGTCTGTGACACATAAGCATGCATACGTTTGGTGACACATGCAAGTCGTAGGAGCTGTCATTTGTTTATGTGTGTGTTTGTTTGTGTATGAAGACAGTGGAAGATTTATTTGTTTGTGTAGTATTTCAACTAGTATGTGAAAGATTTGAATTGTCTGTGTGCATATATCACTGTCTGTGTGATATTGTAAGTTGGTTAGAACACATTAATAAATGAATCATGTAACATAACAGATGGAGAAGAGCTGCCAAAACAGAATGAAGTTGGTCAAGATCCGGAAGTTGGTATGGAGTTTGAAAGTAGAGAAGCAGTCTATGATTTTTACAAAGCATACGGGAAGCGTTTGGGATTTCCTATAAGAACTAGGAGCACAACTAAAGACAAAAGAGGAGAACACATTGTGTCAATTCTACTAGAATGTTCGCGGGCTGGTCGAAGATGTAGTCAGTCAAAAAATCAATTGAAGCCCCAACCTTCAATGCAAATAGGGTGTGAAGCTAGACTACGAGCGCACGTAAATTATGCAGGAATTTGGCAAATTTAAAAAGTCTTTTTACAACATTCACATCCTATGAGTCCAACAAAGGCTCGCCTATTCCGATGCAATCGGAAGTTAACTCATGGAATGGCGAGGAAACTTGCAATAAATGATGTTGCGGGAATACGACTTAATAAAAGCTTCACCGCGGCCGTTGTTGAGGCCGGTGGGTATGATCAACTTCCCTTCATTGAAAAAGATTGTAGGAACTATATAGATAAAGTTAGAAAACTTAGGTTAGGTAGTGGGGATGCAATTGCCATTCAAGGGTTCTTCGCTAAAATGCAAGCTCAATGCCCCGGATTTTTCTTTGCACTTGACTTAGATGAGGAGTCAAGATTGTGTAATGTCTTTTGGGCCTACAATAGGTGTAGATATGCGTACAAAGAATTTGGAGATGTCATAACGTTTGACACGACCTACCTTACAAATCGGTATGACATGCCATTTGCACCATTTGTCGGCGTAAATCATCACGGGCAATCAATGCTACTAGGATGTGGATTAGTCTCTAATGAAGATACACAAACCTTTGTGTGGTTGTTTAAAGCATGGCTTGAATGTATGGATGGCATTGCTCCAATTGGGATTATTACCGACCAAGATCGTGCTATGCAAAACGCCATTGCACTTGTTTTCCCAAACACGAACCACCGATGGTGTTTATGGCACATCATGAAAAAGGTACCCGAAAAACTCGGAGGGGATGCACAAAAAGATGAAATATTGAATATTTTGCATGACTGCATTTATGATTCCCAATACACCCAAGAGTTTGAGGAGAAATGGGTTGACATGGTTCAAAGGTATGAATTTGTATGCTTAATTTTGTGTACTGGCAGTAAGTTTTCTGGCTCATAGACATGTGTATCGGTCATAGACAATAAATTTTGTAGTTCACAGTCATAAAAGTGTTTGTGGGCAGTGAACAACTTATTTTTCATTTATTGTGAAACTGAGCTGTTGTAGTGTATATGCTTTCAGGTTTTCACTTGAAGAGCATGAATGGCTAGGGGTGATGTACAATGAAAGAAAGCGTTGGGTACCATGTTATTTAAAGCCAACCTTTTGGGCGGGCATGTCCACAACTCAACGAAGTGAGAGCATGAACGCATTTTTTGACAAGTATGTGAATTCGAAAACCACTCTCAAACAATTTGTTGAACAATACGGATGTGCTTTGCGTGATAAAGTGGAAAAAGAATTTCAAGCGGATACTAACTCATTTACCAAAATGATTCCATGTGTGACTACATATCCAATGGAAAAACAAGTGCAACACATTTACACTCTTTCCAAGTTTGCGGAGTTTCAAAAGGAATTACTTGGAAAGCTTTATTGTGATCTCCTAGTATGTGAAGATGGTAAAAATTTTATGGTGAAGGAGCGTATGGATATTAATGGGTTTAAGAAGAATGTGAACTTCTATATTGAGTTTGACCCAATTACTTGTTTTGGAATATGTAGTTGTCATTTGTTTGAGTTTAGGGGAATGATATGTAAACACTTAATTGTGGTCCTAATTCGGCTTGATATACAACTCTTGCCCGAGGTGTACCTAATGAAAAGATGGAGGAAAGACATGAAAAGAGCGTACCAACGAGTGAAAATCAATTATGACGGGTGGATTACAACGGTTGAACAACACCGCTTTGACAAGTTATGTAAGACCTTTGAGAGTTTTGCCAACATGATAGCAGATGATGAGGCCAAATACAACGAAGTCCTCCTTTGGTTGGACACCCAATTGTCCACATATACTCCTCCGGTTAACAATTCTTCTATTGGTGGCAACATGACACCACTTGAAGACCCAACCACAAGTATAGGTGGCGAGGTCGAAGTTCTACCTATTGGAGATCCTAAATGTACGAAGCGCAAGGGAGCTCCAAGGAAAAACCGAGAAAAGGGTCCACTAGAAAAGGGGAAGAAGAAAGGAAAGGCTAAGAAGGATAATGCACGAGCCGCTGCCACAACGATCCAAAGTAACGGTGTAGCTAATGTGCCAATTGTGTACTCTACTGGTTTAGATTTGAATCTATCTTTGATGTGAATTATTTGGTGTTAAACGGTGCAGCTACTGGTGGCACAATTGTATAGTTTTTTGTCTGATTTTTGTCACTAACAATATTTTGTGAAATATAATTTAGTCACAGACATACGTATTACCTCGCCTAGACAATATTATATACTCACAGACACAAGGGTTTACAAAAAAAAAACAATATGATGCATTCCATACAAAATTGTTACTTCGTTACACAAAAATCAGCAGAGTAATGTTTTCTACAACCTTCATATGTACCCTCCTGTGGAAGTACCTTGTAGGACATTGTAAAAGGTTGATCATAGCACAACAATGTACATTATCATACATTCCATTCAAAAAACGGTTACCAAAACCTAAACCGTTGGCAAAAAAAAAGATATTTACAGCTACATAATGTTTGATACATTAGCTGATTAGCAAAAAAATGTACATTGCATGTTTTCTAAGAAACTGGCTTCCTCAAACTCCAAAGGCGTAGCGCAAAGTGCCATCTCTTTGTAGCCACGTTCGCATACTCGCAATGTGGCGTCAAGGGAAGTCCCAACAACAAAGCCTCAGCATAACAAACAACCATCAGTCCGCAAACAGTTCTGCCACACAGACATAACAACGAATTAATATGTATTCACAGACAAATTAGTACACTACACATAAACAAATTTGTAGGTGAACAGATTAACATTACCCTCCCTCTTGTTGTGGAACATCTGCAGCTAGCTGAGCATTCCAATGCTCTACCTTAGAAAGATCTGGGTGGGCTTGTATGAATCAGAAGAGTAGCGGAAGTCTCACACACAAATGTGCCGCATGCAACATTGACCTACTTGTTCTCATGGAGTCATATACACGTACCAATTTTGCACGTAGGTCAACTTCCGCTAAAACCCAATGCATCCCATCAACATTCAAAGGTACAAAAACCTGAACACAATAAATAAATAAAAAACTTATGCGCTATGTTTGTATACGTACAAAAAATAGTTAACACACAAACAATTGAATAACGAAGGTAATCACTTACTTTTTGTAAACCTCTCCAGTCAACACTAGGTAGACACCTATCAGCAGTCCATGCATTCTCATCCTTATAATCCTTAGTCATGACTTGATGCTACACAAACAAAAAGTTATTATGGCAATGTTATCTTAAATAATTATGTAAGTTCTGTACAGATAAACAACACATACAACAAAGTAAGGGCTTATTAGCTTATACGGCTTGTCCGACGCACAATCTTTCAGAAGCAGGTAGGAAAGAGCATCCATATGCTAACAAAAAGCAATGTCAGACATATATTTATACATGACAATATATGAAAATGAGAAGGCACTCACATATGACCATAAAGACTCATCTGGTTCCACGAGCTCACGGAAAAAGTCCCTGTCCACTTCATCAAATGATGACAGATTAAGAACAAACGTTTTAGGTTCAACAGTGTCAGCTTCTTGTATCCAAGCTTTTAGAGATGCAATATGATTATCAGTTGGGTGAAATATAGCAGGTTGAATGGAGACAATGGGCTCAACATATGGTGAGCACTGGTATTTGGAACGACATCGTTTTCTTTTTTTCACTTCTTTCCTGCTCACAACTTGTATGGCCTCAACATCTATTGGCGCACTCCCAACATCATCTCCATCCCAATCCAAATTTTCAAATGGACCGGGGGCTGTTAACGGAGGTAAGTTGTCCTATTCACAACAAATATAATACATTGTTATGTCTTTGTACACACAGACAAACACTATTAATGGACACCAACATTGAGACTCATACACAAACAATCACAAACAGAACAACACAACTTTACCTCATTTAAAGACATCATAAGATCTGGGAAGTTGCTTGCTACCTTATTCTGCTCACTTTCCCAATTCACCTATTGAATAATTCACAACTTCATTTGTAATTCTACAAAAATAACAATAAAGATAGATAAAAACCCATACCTCAGTCATTACAGCGGAGATGATTACATCTGCCCGTGTGGCATCTTCACCATCTTCACTATCAGCAACATGGTCAGCATCTCCTTTCACAACCTCAACCTGCATCGACACTTCTTCAGTGGCTACATTTGGTTCCTCTTCTTGTACGTTCTTCTCACCGTCACCCGCAGCCGCATCATCAGCAACACCATCATCATTAACAACACTTGTCTTCAAAACATCTTCACCGGCAGGTACTCGTTCATCCCCAATTGCATCCTTATCAACCTACAATGCATATAGTTTAATGTGTTAGTCGCGTAGATAATGCAAATGGCCATACAAGTAAGTTTGATCATACCTCTTCCTCAACCGATGGGTTCGGTTTGCCAACCAACTTCAGAAGTAGTACCTTTATTTCTGAAAGACTTTTTTCAACATAAGTGATTTTGTTTTCAACCCTTTGAACATACTTCCGTAGGTCCTGCAGCTCCTCCAATATTTTAACCTTTTCGAACAAGCGCAGGTCTTCCTCAGTCATTTCTTCTTCTTGGTTCTCTTCTTCCTCTCCCCCCTCTGAATCAGAAAGCTTTTCCTCCTCCTTAAAAATCATTGAAGATTTATTGTCAAATGATAAAAATACATAACATTAACAAAATCAATGACAGATTACCTCTGGAAATACTACTCGTCTAAGCTTAGAGTAATGAAATTTTCGTTCAACCTTCCAATTGAGTAATGGCACATCATGATTACCCACTTTGTTTGCAAAGTTCTTCCCAACTTCATTAATTTCTTCATAAGCCCACACCTATAATAACCAAAGAATACATTTCTAGTTCGCGCAATAAGAAATAAGTAATAGATATTGTTCTCTTATATATGAACAAATAAATAAGCACAATAGGGAAGTTGTCATATATACCTGCAAAACTAGTGGAAAACCGTAGACAGATAGCTTGGCATTTCTATAGTTTGGATTGTTCTCCTTCTGGTCCTTGAACTTCTGAGGTTGACCATCCATCAGACCCTTCATATGACTCACCAATAACTTGTACGAACGAAGTGACCACGGACACTTCTTGAATTCCTCTAAATCATTCACCAGTCTGATAGAGGATACATTTATCCTCGTAGTGTTGTCCTTAGCAAGCAACACACACTCAATATAGAACGAGGAGGCCAACTTTACAGCATCCATCTGATCACGATGTTTGGAAAGTTTCAGTTTCTCAAATTTGTTCTTCAAATTGACGTGTGTAATGTCGACTGAGCCACCTAAATACTTCTTAGCAATGGCCCCTACTGGTTCAGCTTCATCGCCAGATTCTTGTCCCGAAACATCACCTGCAGCAGCTACTGGTTTAGCACCCGCTGGTAATCCACTTATGCGGCAAAAATCCACATAAGTAAACTTATACAGTGTACCCCCAATGGCAAACCACAGCTCCTCATCAGGTTGCTCCTGCACAAGGTGTAAGGCCAACATGTGAAAGACTTGGCCAGAGAATTGTGTGGGTGGGATGTCAATAAGATGGCCCCATGGTAAAGCGCGAAAAATTTCTATTTCTGTTGCAGATAAGCTGCTTTGTACCCATTTGGCAGCATTTCTAAAGTTTGAACACACCGAATACTGGGCAGGGAAGTAGTCATGACTGGGAATGCGTAACTTCAGGGCTCTGGCAGTTGGAAGAACAATAAATTATTAGGGCAGAGAGACAAAAGGTGACGTTCATAGACCTAAAGTATATTCACAGACAATAAATAACACTCCACAAGAACTTTACACCACCACACAGACAATTTATAAACATCAGCAAAGGAATTACACTATGTCATAGACATAATTTCATTCACAAGCAATAAATAACAAAAAAATGAAGTTAACACCACCACACAGACAACTTGCGCACATCAACAAAGGATTTACACTATATCATAGACAAAATTTTAAACCAGTCCACAGACAAATGTTCGAAGATTGCAAAAAACCCAACAAATTAAATAATAAACCTAAAAACAAACAAAGGTTGGGAAATGATACATACCTCTCGGCCATCTCTGCCAGTGGGGTTCGCACCATTGTTGTGCGTCGTGGTCCAACCTCAGTCCACAGTGTAAGTGGGGGTGCCGGTTTCGTGGGGATGTGGGAGAGAAGGAAGGGGATGTCGCCGCAGGTTTGATTTTCGAGAAGGAGGAAGTTGCTCGTTGATTTTCGAGAAGGAGGAAGTCCGCAGCGAGGAGGCGGCTCGTTGAATTTCGCCGTTGTAAGGAAGAAGAGAGACGCGTGGGCCGGGTGGGGGACTTTTGATTTTCGAGGAGCGGGGGGAGCGAGTGAGAAGCGTGGGCCGGGTGGGGGAGTGAGGGGAAAAGAGGGGGGTAATTTTTTTTGAATTTAAATAGTGTGTACATTGAGTGTACAAATTATGTGTACAAAGAGCAATTTTGTTGAACTTTGATGAAAGAGTACCCATAGTAAATTCGTTAGACGCTAGCTACGTAAATTCGTAAGGCAAGAGGGCAAACTTGTCGGATAGTAGAAAAAGAATGGTGCCCATAGTAAATTTGAAGGTGCCCAAAGACCGCCCTAAATTTATACCTGATATTACTTCGAATTTAAACCATCGATCCGTACCCTGAGCTCTTTCTGCTGCTCTAAGGTGGAGTGGGCAATATCCGAAATGGAGTGGGCAATATCCGCCGTGAACAAGGCGGCGAGTAGCAACACGGTGGTGAACGTATTTCTGTTGAGCGTTTTCGGGGCTCTGAGTGCAAGGTCGTTTCAGCAGCAGAGGGATATCGAGGCGTTGGAGGCAGAGAAGAACTCTATTGTTAAATCCAACAAGGAAATGAGGAAGACCATGTGGGAATGGAGGCAGCAGCTCTACGCGGATGTCGAGGCGCTTTCCTCTCAAGCCATCGTTCCCCTCTCCAAACTCAAATCCATTTTTGGAGACAAGGAAACCGCCGCCCCTGATGCCCTGACCTTCCCTTCTTCAGGTGAATTCCTTTTTGTTCTAATCTGAACTTGGGGTGTTTGGAACTGATTCTGCGCTTCTTATTTTTAATCCCAGAATCACTTCTTCATTTTCGCCCAAACACTCCAAATTTAAGATGTTGCGTTGTAACCACACATCACTCTATTTCCAACTAGTATTCTAGCAACGTTATAATTTATACTTGCATTTGAAGATTTCAGTCTTTTAGGGCTTCATGCAATTCTAAGAGAATTACTAGCATAGAATTGAGTTCTTAACTTCTGTCTAGCCTGTAATAAATAACTCACTCGATACAAGTAAACCTCGACTCTGTAATGATTAATGACACAGATGACAACGTTTGTTTAGGCTCCCATTCAAGGTTAATCAGTCATTCTCCATGTAATCGATCATAGGAAATGGAAAATTTACATTTCTTTGGAGCTACATGCTCCTTTAGTGCACATTTATTTGCAATTTTAGGGACTAAACGCACCTTTAGTGCCCATCTGAAGACCCTATATTTCGGTTTATGAACTATACTGTAACTACCATTTACTAAACACTAATTTATCTGGCTACACATGCTGGTTCATGATGAGGAAAAGTGGTGCCCAATGTATTTTTTGTCCAAAGTTGATAGAGTGATTAAAAATGATGACATTTTACCCTAGCCAGTTACGAAAGTATAATTCTTCATCAAGCTCATCAACTTTACACATTTCAGCACAATTTATACAACTCCAGCCAGTTTGATCAAATTTACTTTACCAAAAGGGCTCTTAGCTCTTTAATGAAGATGTATAATGAACCCCGACTTGCAAGGTAGTTGGCAGAATTCGGCTCAACTCTTATACCTCCTGTTGATATTCTAACGCATCAGTATATTTAAAGTGGTTTTGGCTCAAATTTTTAGCTATCCTTCTAGTCCATTCTCGATTCTACTCTTATCTTACAAGAATAATTACATAATGTATTTTCTGGTATAATAAACATACAATTGCATTCCTCATTCTTGATTGGTTATCTTGGTTCATTCAAGAACGCAGACTCTTCAAAAGATATGGATCTTAGGTTAAGATGTAAGATGGTAAGAGTCTCTAGACTCTGAAACTCAGTGTTGTCTAGGTAACTCTTTTCTAGTGCTCTTTTCTGCTTAGCATATCAGCTCTTTTCAACATCAAACTCATTAATAGAACACTCATCCCCTAAGTTATACATGCAGTTTGAATTCGCATGTATAATATCTAACACATTATATCTATAACACTGATCCCCTAAGTTATACTTGCAGTTTGAATTTGCATAAATGTCATTCTTTTGTGCTAGTATACTAATTAAATTAAATGTTACAAATGCTTCTGAATGAAATTATGATAATACAAAAAATAATAGGATATAAATTATAGAGTTGGACTTGGGGTACACACTTTTTGTGTACACACTTTTTACACATGTCTGTGTAAGTTTTTTTTTTTGTCTGTACAGACAAAAAAAACCTTACACGGACATGTGTCAAAAGTGTGTACACAAAAAAGTGTGTACCTTTAGAATTTTTCTAAATTATACATATCAAATTAATATTGTGATACTAATCAATTAAGATGTTACAAGTATTCCTGAATGATATTTCATGTTATGACTAAAAAAAGTAGAATGGTGTAAAAGTTATAAAACAAAACCTTACACAATATTCTTATACTAAAAAATTGGAATGTTACACATATATTAAATGGCAATTTGTATTATGTTACTACAAAATAAAAGTTTACCATAGGTGAAAAGTAACAAGAAAGGTGAAAAGGAACAAAAGAAACAACAAGTGAAAATGAAAAATGACCTTATATTAAGCGAAAATAAAAGAAAATGTAAAGGCAGAAAAGATAGGGAATAACTGAATAAGCAATGAAACTTGAAACATGACATTTGAGCTAGAGATATGCTTCCCCCATTTATGGGATAACATGTGAAAGTTTATGTTCAAAATCTTTAAAGAATCTTTGAAAATCATTTTACATTTGAAAAAAGCTGGAAGAATACATGGTTTCCGTTTATTGTTCTCTATTCTTAAAAAAATAGATACTTTTGGAAAGACCTTGTGAATCACATTCAAAACAAATCCTTGAGCTTTCCCGAGGGCTCATAAAAAAAATTAGTTTGCTTTTTCGTAGTTGACCAACATGAATAAATGAAATGCTCAATGAACTATTATTTCTCGTTTGGATAAAGAATGTGTAAATCACAAATGAGAACACCCTAAAGCAAATATAATCCCTTAGCCTTGGCTTTATTTAGAAAAATCAAATATGCAAAAGCATATATTTCTATTTCTCTATCTCTACATAATAGAAATCAATAGAAATATTAATTGGGGTGCAAAGTCAAATGATTTTATAGTGAATTGGGGTGCATACATTAATGTTTTTTGAAAATAGGGTGCAAAGTCAAATATCACCCAAAACTGATATATTAAGTTTGACCCTCTTTTTTTCCTTTCAGTGTTTTATTTCTGTAGCAGCGGAGATCCCCTGTGCTTACATCTACTTGAAATTATTTTCCCAATGTGCCTGCAGATGGAAATGAGGAAACGCCAAATTCAAGAATTATTATCTGAAGGCTGTGTTTGGGTGAATTCATGGTGACGACAGTACAGAGCTACTATTGTAGTATATTTTTGTTGGACTATTATTGCTTAAGGTATAACAGATCTCTGTCACATATCAATGAATCATGGTGAAATAGAAAAGAATATAACAACATGGGCTCATGGAGCAAGTAAATGTTGTCTCTCTAACATAGAGATGCAAATTCCAGAATTATTATAAATTTAATAACATCATCTTAAATGATACTCCCTCCGTCATTTTAGACTTTGCCATCTTTGATTTTTTGGTCAACCAAATTCAAATTTGACCAATTATATATTTTTTATAGAAAGTTATTTATATTATAAAAATGATATGAAAATTTTATTTTGTAAAAGCACGTTCAGAAAAGTATAAAATTTATAACTTTTCAAATATTATACTAATCAAAATCATGGTCTAAAGTTTACCATGATTTTCCAAGTTTAACCGTAATTACTTAAACATGCTGTTTCGAAAATGTCAAATAATCCATAATGTCTCTTGAATGATATATTGTTCACAAATACATGGTCATTCAAAGCTTGTCATTTTTAACACAAACAACATTTCAAGGAAGATACTTTTTACCAAGTACATTAACAGATTATGTACACATAAAACTTACTTACACAAACATTGAAATTTAGAAATTCAAATTGCATATTACATTATCATACATTGTTACTTCAAGTTGTAGTTAGTAGTTACAAGAACTACACAATTACAATGTAGTTCTCTCCTTATAGTACACGGTAATACCTGATAGCCATGGCTACCATAACAATTGCAATCAACAATCTGTAATTCCTCCTTCCTTGAATTTCAGATTGCAATGCAACTCGTAAGTCACCAACTTCCCCACGAACTTTCATAATATTCTCTCTTAATTCCATAACTTGCTTTTTGCTCTCCTCCCAACCCAACTCAGAAGTTTTCTCTTTAACATCGTTTGCTCCTTTAACTTTGAGGTTGTTGTTAAAGACTTCATGGAAGAAAGACTGAAGAACATTGGAGGAGCCACCCTCCTCCACAGCCTCTCTACTCTTCTGTTTAAGTTCTTAGCCCTATCCCTCGCAGGAGAAGGGTGGACCATAAGCTTTCTGATTGCCACTTCTATCACATCTGCTTTCACCGTCTTTGCAGGTTTTCAGATGTTAGGGCTTTCTTGTAATCCCATTTAAGATTCACTGCCATTCCAATATCTGTCACCAATTGGAATGCATTCGCTTGTTGCTCTGCATAAATTGGCCAAGCCGCCATGGGAACTCCGAACAACACGCTCTCCAGAGTCGAATTCCACCTGCAGTGCGACACGAAGCCCCCCACGGCGGCGTGAGCTAGAATGGCGGCTTGCGGCTCCCATCCGGTGACCACTTTTCCAATGCCTTTAGTCCTTTCTAAGAAACCTTTTGACAAGATGTCTTTCGATTTGTTGAGGTTGGCATCTTTTGGCGTTGGCTTTACCAGGGCCCACAGGAATCTCTGCCCGCTACGCTCAAGTGCGTCGGCGATCTCCTTCACTTGCTCCTCCGTGAAACTGCCGTCGCTTCCGAAGCAGAGGAACACCACAGACGACTTTTTTTGACCGTTAAGCCACTCAAATATTTCTTTGTCGGACTCTTTGTTCTTTACGCCTTGCATGTTGAGTACGGGTCCCACTGCGTACACGGGCGGGATCCTCCTTGATTCTTCTTTGGATAGGGCTTTGAGCGCGTGTGGCTCAAGCTCAGGGAATGTGTTGACGAGTATGCCCTTCGCCTCTCAGATTCTCTTTGCAATATCCAAAAACTTGTCGGATTCGCCGCCAGCTTGTTCAGCATATTCGCCGGTAGAAACCTTACTGGAAAAGGTGTGGAATAAGTCGGCACTTCCAGATCTGAGTCCGACTCCTTGAACTCGAAGACGTCTTTTCCGTGGACGTCCCTGAGCTCCTGGAGATGGAGTCCGAGCATGGCGGCATCGAAAGTGTAGAACACGTACGCCGGGATTCCTAACTCGTCAGCCACGTCCATCATGTCGGTACAAAACATGTCTACAACAATGCCGGTGAGCCTTGTGCCGCCTGAAGCCGTCCGGGTCTGGATTGTGCGAACAGCTTCACTCGCGCTTTGCTTGTGAGATTCGATGAGGGAATGGAAGTAGGTGGCCTTGTTGGTGTTATCTGTCGCCGTGGAAGCAGAGAGAAGCACGAACTTCAACCTGGAGGATGGTTCGTCGTGGGTTGCAAGAAGTGAGTCAAAGTAAGGTTCCATGATCAATACAGAGATAGAGAGATCATCCCTGATGCGGCGTTTCTGAAGGAGGAGCTTGGCCATTTCGATGGCGGAGAGAAGGTGGCCCATCCCAGGGGCGGGAATGTAAACCAGCTCTATACTTCCTTCCATTTTCTCGTTCCAGACTAGCTTTACTTTACTTATATGGAGTATATATTACTGGTAGTATATGAATGAGATAGTCTCAGAGTCACATTGGATCGATATATATACGAAGCACGCTGTGAGTTAATTGTGTGAGGGGGAGAATTTATGCTTAGTGTATAGAAAGAGCGTTGACTTCTGTTGGGGACTAGGAATCTTGACATCATTGCTTAGCTGGAATCTTGTGATGGAACCCGTATGTTCAGTCTTCGAATGAACCATTTTAGCCTCTCCGCGTATTGCTTTAGATTTGGAAGTATCAAAGATCAAAGGCGCATCTTTTTATCTTTATATATACACCCTCAATCTCATAAAGAAGTTCTTGACTAATTTCCGATGTTTGATTCAGAATATAATAAATCAATCAATGTCAACATTATGATTATTTTTAGTAAATAAAATTTACATATTCAGAATTTACATTAAAATTTCTTTAAAATCGCAAAAAGAAAATTCAAATTTGATTAAAAAATTGATATACAAGTATAATGTAAAAGATTAAGAGTAATTAAGTTGACCAAGTAAGTAATGAACGGGAACTTCATTTTAGGACGGAGGTAGTGCTAGTTTTCTACACGTGCATAAGCGCATTGCACGGTTGAATAAAATGCTCAATGTTTTTTGAAGTTATGCATGTTATATGTTGATTTGATATGATTACTTTTAGTATTTGGCACGATAATATTTGTATCAACTTAAAAAATAGAGTATTTGATATTTCTTTATCGTGAAAGAGGACCAAAAAAGATGCAAATGCGTATAAAGGCCAGACCATATTTTCCTAATTTCATAAAAACAAGTATCATTGACACTGACAAACATCGAGTACATATTTAAATACCGATGATTCACGCTCGATCTAATATAAGACCTTCACGTGATAATATACGAGATATGAATGAAAGGTACTGACTATAAATAGAGATCAAGAAAATATAAGGTTCACTAATATACAAAGTAAATATTTTTATTGTGGGTAAATATGGTACCATATCATGATAATAATAACGTCCAGAGTAGAGTAGTAATGTTTTAATTCACTTGGACAAATTGTCGTCTCTGATCAACCAGATCAAACTAAGACAAAGCATATCTGACCAGTCTTTAACAGACTTAAATAAATGAAACTAGACTAGAAAAGACTAGACATAGACTAGTCTATGTCAAACATGAAATGGGTTGTTAAGCCTGAAAATTGAAAGAAAAACGCCAAACACCCAACAAATGGGCTGTTTTGACTGATTATTATTATTAGCTGAAAAAACAAGTATATGGCTAATTTTTGGGCTGAAATGTATTATTTCACTGTTGGCGAACAATAAGACCATCTTATCCTTCTTCTATTCCTGGAATATACATCGTCAGTTGCTTCATAACTTCTCGTGTCTGATTGACGACTTCTTGGAGTTCTTGCACGACCTCTTCATTCTCGTTTCTAAAGCTCTCTGGTTTTTCCTTTCCACGAGTTCCCTACATATATGATAATGGTTATTAGCAGTTTTGTTGCCCTCCACGTGTTCATAAATTGTTTTAGTGTGAAGGTGTCTTATACATGTTTTCTAATCTATGCTAATATCTTATTCAACTGAAGTGGTCTGATTACTTTTTTTTCTTCAACACTAGAGTAATCTCCTTTAGAATTGAAACAAGTTTATACCCTTTATGATATTTTTATATTCAATCAGCCATTTCAGCCATAATATTACCAAACACTTCACTTCAGCAATTTCAGCCCTTTCAGCCGTCTCCAAACGGGCCATATATGTCTATACTAGACTACACTTGAACTGTTTAATCAAATCAAACGAAGCTTAAACGAATCAGATCATATTGTAGCATATTTAAATAGATCACACTAGATCAAACCAATCAAATTTAGTAATTTCAGTTCGAGTGAAAACATCCTAAAACTAGAAACATGTGTAAAATAACAATGTGTAATAACTTGTATTAGTGCTTAAGTATAATATGAGTGCATAAATTTGACTCTCTTAAATTTTGAAGTGAATACTCATAAATTATAGGTCCACATAAATTTATAAATGATTGAAATAAGTACATTCAATTCAGATATTGATAAAAACAGGATTTGTAGAATTTAATTTAGTTCGATCAGGCATTGATTGTATGGAAATAAAAAACACTCCTTATAACAATCTTTTAAATGAATTCATAAAAAAATATTCTCACATTTTTCATTTTTTGAAGTTGAACAATGTTATCGTAAATATTGATTCTCTTTTTCCCGATAAACATTAACTCCCCAATTTCTACTTGGCTTTATCTTTATATTTATACTAGTATTCCACCCGTGCGTTGCACGAAGTGTAATATGCATATATATAGTAGCAATGCATATATATAGTAGCAATGCATATATATAGGATCAAATGAGAAAACTACTTAACGTGAGAAGTGAGAAGCTTCACATTTGGCACTTTCTGATGCACGTTTGCGCTAATCTGATGCGCTTTTTGCGATCGCAAAAAAGTTCCGATTCATTAAAAAAGTGATGCAAGACGCGGTGACATTTCCGTAATTAATCAGAACTTTTTTGCCATCGCAAAAAGTGAATCAGATTAGCGCAAACGTGCATCAGAAAGCGGAAAATGTGAAGCTTCTCACTTCTCACGTTAAGGTGTCTTCTTAGGGGTGAGTTCTAATACAAAGAGGTCTTCCCATGAAAAGTGAGAAGTAATTCAAGCCCTTGATTACTTAAAAATGGATGGTATAGATCAAAACTCACGATCAACCAAAATGTGTAATACCTAGAGTGAATTCCCTAAATGGGACTAAAATAGAA